CAAATCATATGTGGAAAATGTACTCTAAGGTTTCTAATCCTGATGTGACTGTAAGTTGGTCTCATATCCATTTCCTGGAAGGAACTGCAAACCACATTAAATTTTATTAAGAAACTACAGGCAGTTGAAGATTTTATATAGCACTGGTAGGGAAGCATTCCTACAGACTCCCAGGCTCGTAAGAAAGCCACAGACTGTGGCTCCCCAACCATGGAAGTAGAAGAACCAACTCCTGGGTGAGCTTTGGTTGTAAACCCAGCAAAGCAACCTTGGTCCCACTGCCCAGTATTCACCCAAAATATGCATGTGAGACCTAAAATGTACCCCTAAGCCCCATGAGGAACGAAGCACAGGCTGATCCCTAAAAGGTATCCTAAACCCAATAATTTCAGAGTGTGCCTAATGTTTTCTTCTCTCCAACTACCTCCCTTGCCCAGACTCAATGCAAGGTAGACACACCAATTTCTTTCCACTTTCTTCTTCCTATATCTCTCATAATACAGTGGTACCTCAGGTTACATGCGCTTCTGGTTACATACGCTTCAGGTTACAGACTCCGCTAACTCAGAAATATTACCTTGGGTAATAAGCAAAAGAACTTTGTTTCAGGATGAGAACAGAAATTGTGCAGCGGCAGCGCAGCGGCAGCAGGAGACCCAATTAACTAAAGTGGTGCTTCAGGTTAAGAACAGTTTCAGGTTAAGAACAGACCTCCAGAACGAATTATGTTCTTAACCCGATGTAACACTGTAAATGGTATCACAACATAGTGGAGGCCTCCTCATAAGGAAGATCATTGTCCTTTACTTCCACATACATATTTTTACTCTCTATCTCAACTTTACATCCCTACACCCCATTTGACTGCTTCACTGCCATTGACTCATCCCTCTGCTGGGCTGCACTAATGACCTTTGAGCTAATCTGCAGCTGAACCAACAAAGGCTTCCTCAACTGCATCTTTGCACATTGCCTGGTACTTTCCACTTGACTGGTTAGAGTGATGAAGAGTGATTGAGAGTATTGTCTTGTTTGTGTTGTTTGTGGAGACAGCTAGCTCCATGCTGTGTGAGATTTCAATTCTCACCAAGTACACTTCTGAGTCATTGACACCAGCAGCTGAGCTCACTTGCCATCCCTTTTCCCTAGGGAGGGTGACCACTTCCATGGCAGGAGAATCAGTCTTACTGGTTGAAGCCTTCAGTACATCCATGCAATATGAAGCCATGATGGGTTAAGGGTTTTCTTAGATGTTGAAGGCTGAGGGCTACTCTTCTTAGCTGCGGATTACTTTCTTGCTTACAGTCTTACCAAGAACAATCTAATATCCAAACCTTCCTCCTTCTCAGAAGAGGAATCCTGTGGTGGGGGATACTGTATTTTTTTTCTGTTTATAGGACACCCCCATGTATTAGATGACCCCTATTCCGTGTATAGGATGATCCCCAATTTCAAACTTTAAAAATATGAAGGAAAATATAGTTTTATACAAGGTAAAATACAGTATGGGGGTTTATTTGCAGGTTGCATCTTGGTTTTGCCCTTGCCTTTGTAGTCTCTAGATTCTTTCTTTGGTGACATTACAATTTCATTCATTCATTTAATTTAATTGCATTAGCATACAGCCATAGCAAAATAAGACAATACAAAAATGTTGGAGGCAAGCAACCAAGCAAAATTCAAAGCGATATTGCTGGCGTAATGACATTTAAAATACCCTAAGACAATAATACAAAGATTTAGTTGCCAGCGCCAAAAAACTAGTATGCAGATATTAATAAAGCATAAAATGGCCCCAAAATAGGCTCAGCACATTGAGTTAAAAAAGGTAATAAAGGAATTAAAACAGGTCCAGGACTAGGACACACTACCCTGTCAGAGTAGCCCTGAGTTTCAGAGCCTGCACTATGAAGATTGCCACCCCACGTGAAATTTGGGGATTTGCGTCCACAAGAAGAGCTTTCAAACAGTCTTCCTTAGATGAAATGGAGGACGGGATCAAGAGGAGGAGCTTAGGTCTTATTGGGTCATAAATAGGGCAGTAGAAAAAGAAATGTATAAAGTCCTCTACTTCATTCATTGTGCATGGACATAGACGTTGCATAATAGGGGTCTTAAAGTAGGTCCCCTGCAGGAAGGCCGTGGGTATAGAATGGAAACGGGCCATTGTAAACGCTCTTCTCAAATTGGGCTCCGTCAGGTCTATCAAGTAGTTGGCAAGTGATCTTACCACTTTCACTTTAGGGAGCCACATAGAGAGGCGAGCTGAGGTGGACTGTGCCCGGTCCATGGCCTCATCTCTTATAAGAATCCAGGCCCGGATTTTATGTTGGTCCCAAGATGACAGCGTGTCGAGATCTGGGAGGGAGTAGCGTACAGTAATAGTCTCCATGGCCATGGACCATTTGTTGGAATGAGAACAAGTTAAAAAGGCTTGCCTGGCTAGTAGGGAACCTGGGGCATTGATTAATTTGCAATAAAAACTAATGATTCTAATGTGGGCTCTCGCAACAATGGAGGGGAGGCCCAGTTCTGTTCTTAACTGTGCAGCAACCGAGCCCTTGGGGAGACCCAGTATCTTTCGTGCAAAAGAGTTTTGTAGAATCTCCAGCCGTTGTAGTGTTTTTAAATTCCACCCCCAGATTTCAACCCCATACAGTAACATCGGGAGGACTTTGCTGATAAATGCTTTTCTGATTGGTGGAACCAACTGGCCGCCTTTTGCATAGAAGAATTTCTCCAAGGCTTTGATGGTTCTACGGGCAGCCAGGATGGTCATATTTAGGTGAGCTGACCAGCTAAGCCCATGCTGAAAAGTGATTCCCAAATACTTGAATGCTGAGCAATATTCAATAGAATGGCCCTCAAAATTCCAGAATGACTTCCGAATTTTCGTGCCAAAAGTAAGAATTTTGGTTTTGGCGACATTACAATTTAAATCACACATTAATGCCATAGGAGGGAAATGCTGAAAAGTTTTTGGCAAGAGCTAATGAAATGAAAGAGAATTAATTAAGCCAATTCAACACTGAGCTTCGATTTTTGCTATGTCCCTCTGTGTCTTCTTGGCAAACACACAGCCCCCACTCCCAGACCTTAGGGAACCATTTGTTCCCACATGTTGCCCACAGCGTGAATCCTTGGCCTATAAATATCTCCATGTAAGCCTCTACTTGCATCATTCCTCTTCCCTGGTCCATCTCTTTTGAGTCTCCCAATCTTTCAAAAATGATGAAAACACTTCTGAGCACATGCCTCCTCTTGGGCCTGCTTTCTCCAGGTGAGTAGCAACCAGTGCAATGGGATTCTTTAGATGACTGCAAAAATGTTTGCTCCTTGGGTGGGAATGTGGGTGAGGACAGGATATCAATATAAAAGAGAGTAAGGACTGCTGGCTAACCAAGGAGAGTAAACTCAAGAGTTTAAGCACTTAAGCCTTGGTGACCAAGTATAGTCAGTTGTAAACATTTATGTGGCAGAGGAATCAGAATAATCATGCTAATAAGTGAAAGCTACAGTTTCCAAGATACTTAAGATAGCCATTCGATCTAGAATTTATTATTATTTATTCATTTATTCATTAATATATGTATTGCTTCATTCCCAAATGGCTTCTGTGCTATTTAGAAAACAGCAACAAAAGAAATCTGCATCTTTGTTAAAATCCAGAATGATTAAAATATACACCATAGTTAAAATAGCCAATAATAAACCCTTAACATAAAAACTACCCTGATTAAATGGTGTGTGAGTGAGAGATAGAATGGGAGAAAATCTCAAGTACTGGAGCAGCAATGAGCATTTCACATAAAGTTCATAACTTTATTTCTCTAGCCAAAGGCCATGACAATTCTAGCTTGATTTCACATTAAACCTTACAATCATCAAAACAACATATAGTAATTTTATCTAATTTCCTTTTCTGTTATTTTTTTTCCAGCTGGTGCATAGAAGGGCACTCCAAGAAGCCAATATGGTCTCACAAAAGAAATCAAACTGAAAAAGACAGTTTCTAAAACTTTAACGGAGTTTGACTCTGCCCCCCCAGATTTCAGTGTCAAATAGCATTTCAGTAAGCACTATCTTTAGGGCAGGTTCATTTAGCTGCCCTCCCTTATTGTAATAGAATTTCATTAATGCTCCTTTGGTTTTCAGTGCTTTGACTTTCACGGCTCAATATTACTCTTCCCAGAGAATGTTTCACTAAAGAATACACCAAGGGATATGGGTGGCACTGTGGTCTAAACCACTGAGCCTCTTGGGCTTGCTGATCAGAAGGTCGGTGGTTTGAATCCCTGCGACGGGATGAGCTCCCATTGCTCTCTCCCAGCTCCTGCCAACCTAGCATTTCGAAAGCACGCCAGTGCAAGTACAGTATATAAATAGGTACTGCTGCGGCAGGAAGGTAAACAGTGTTTCAGTGCACTCTGGCTTCTGTCATGGTGTTTTATTGCACCAGAAGTGGTTTAGTCATGCTGGCCACATGATCCCGAAAGCTGTCTGTGGGCAAACGCCGGTTCCCTCATCCTAAAAGTGAGATGAGCGCCATAACTCCATAGTCACCTTTGACTGGACTTTCCCTTCCCTTCCCTTCCCTTTAAACCCAGGTATATAAATGAGCAGGTTTCTTCTATAGCTTCTTGCTCTAAACATCATTTTTTCACTTTTGACTGTGGTCTGTGTTGTTTATAGATAGGCTTTCACATCATGACGCAGGGCAGTTCACAATATAGAATCATTGGCATGCATCAAGATTGAGATATTTCTGCTCCTTTTCCTTTTTTTTTTTTTTCCCAGCCGGTGCATAGAGGGGTACTCTAAGAAGCTACTTTATGGAAGGGAAGGTTGCATTGGCTAAATATGGCACCAAATAATTAATATGAACATTACAGCTAACACATATCTACCCTTTTGCATGACACCTCCTTAAGAAGAAGAACACATTGTACTACTTTACCATCTCAAGAAATCTCTTGCACCAACCTCTATCTCCTTTGTGCAGCAACATCTCTGACATGTACCCACTGTCATGAAAATAGTACCTCATGTGAAGCTCCAGGAAGTCATGGCTGCCGTGATGATCAAACCTGTTCCTCTGGTGCTCTGCATAACAACATAGGTGAGCTGAATCTTCTCACTTACTTTTGGTCACTTCAAGGATTGAGTTTCTTGTGTAAATTAGCATTATTTATTATTTATTTATTTATTGCCTTTATATCCCAACTTTTCTCCAAGGAGCACAAGGTGGCGTATATGGTTCTTCTCTTATGCATTTCACCTTGTGAGGGATATTAAGCTGAGAGGCAGGGACTCCCCAAGGTCACTCAGTGAGCTTCATGGCTAAGTGGGGATTTGAACCCTGGCATCTCAGATTCTAGTCTAGTCCAACACTCAGCATCAATACTCAGCCACATAACCTTACTCCAGCCTTCCTATTCTCTTTCCATCACATGCAGGCTTCATCAGAGAGAACCTGGCATGCATCAGGCTGGGGTTTTGGCCCTTTAGAAATTTCTGGACTACTGCTCCCATCCACCTCAGCCAGTGTGGTCAATTGATAGAGATGGTGCAAGCTGTAGTTCAGTAAATTCTTTGCTTATTGTAAATCACTCTACGTGGGGCTGCCCTTGAAACTGACCCAGAAACTCCAGCTAGTGCAGAATGCAGCAGCAAGACTCCTTACGGGGTCCTCGCCACGGGATCACATTCACCCACTGCTATACCAGCTGCACTAGCTCCCAGTGGAGTACAGGAGCAGGTTTAAGGTGCTGGTTTTAACCTTTAAAGCCATATATGGTCTAGGACCCTCGTACCTACGGGACCACCTCTCCTGGTATGTCCCACAGAGGACCTTACAGTATTCAAATAAATTTTGGGGGGAGATTCCGGGCCACAGGGAGGTTAGACTGGCCTCGGCCAGAACCAGGGATTTTTCAGCTGTGGCCCAGATCTGGTGGAACACTCTACCACAAGAAATTAGGGACTTGACATCTTTCCGTAGGCCTGCAAGACAGAGCTGTTCCACCAGGCCTTTGACCAAGGCACAGTCTGTAATCTTCATAGAACTCTAACTCGATGGTTGCCATTAATTTGATTCTGAACTGATTCTAGAATGTATTTTAATTAATTGACTGTGCTATTTTATGTACACTGTGCTATTTTTACCTGTTGTTAGCCACTCTGAGCCCGACTTTGGCCAGGGAGGCTGCAATACGAAATTATTATTATTATTATTATTATTATTATTATTATTAGCCACAAATTAGCCATCACTGCATTTACTAGCAGTCCACGCTACACCAGAAGCAGTGAACTCTGGTTTGGTTTTGGTTTGCCTTCCATCATAAGGCAAGGTATTAAGTTTAATATATTATTACAAATTCAATGCAAGGATCATTTTGGGCACCTACAAGTTCTTTCTCTCTTTGCTCTCACGCCAGCTGTTCCAGATGAGATATTACAACGGGGGGAAAGGTTTTCTAGCTACCCTATCTCTCCTTCTTGCATTACTCCTACTAACATCCTGTGAAAGAAGAGGTGTGATATGATGTCATCCTCAGAGACCCCGCCGCCTTCAAATTTTTGCAGGGTGGTGGGACACTCACTGTTCAATGACACTAAGACTAAGCCATGCATCTTCACTGTCTGTGAATTTTGGAGCAATTCATGGGATTGTTGGCTCAAGAGCAGCCACATCTTCATTTTATCTTGAGCGTCTTGTGATTTAAGAATGCAATGAAGGGCCATATGGTTCTTTGGCTTCATAATAGTTCCTGGGACATTGGTCATTTCTAGGTTTCAGCTTTCAGTTCTCACCTTGCTTGCATGCCCATCTGAGAAATCAGGTGACTTTTTCATCTGCTACATCTTTCAACTAGAATCTTCCAGACAGACAGATCTATTCCAGTCTCTGCTAAGGGTAGGTGAATTTGTCAATTTTTGTTACTCTCACTTTCTCATTCTCCCCAAACTTCAATTTCTGCACAGTAAATAATTAAATAAATAAATAACTCATTAAAATGTACCACCATTTAAGAGCAATTTTCTCCTCAAAAATATTTTCATGCAGTTGCAAACCATTTTGCCTAATACAAAGTAACTCTGTTGGTTGTTTTAACTCATGTAGCTGGGTGGCATTCAACTAAGTCAGGGGTCAGCAAGGCTTAAGAAACATAAGAGACTTGTGGATTTAGAAGGATAATCGTGTTTTGGTTCATTTTCTTGGTTCAAAAACTGTGCATTATGTAGTTTCTCACTGAAGAATAAAATGTAGTAAAAGGGAAGTATCATTGAAAATATATACATTTAGAGGAATTAACCAGAGTTTTTGCAGATCTTGTGATTTATTTCCTTTTGTTCTTTTCAGTTCCAGAGTATGAAGTGTCAACTTTCCAGGGATGTGTTTATTCCAAATTATGCCACTCAGGTGATTACAGCTTCAGTGCAGCTAAAGGTAAATTCCTCCAGCTGAAGGTCTACTGCTGCAAAACAAATGAGTGCAACAAGGAACCTGTCCACCGTGAGTATCTGCATCTCTGAAGGTTAAGGGCTTATAAAAACAGTGCTTTTTCTGGCAGAACATGATGGAACACAGTTCTGCCACCTTTTGGGGGGAAGGATGCAGGAGGGCTCTGGGACCCCATCAGATCACCTCCTTTCCTAAGCTAGGCAAATTCTCCTCATGCTTGGGAAAGCAGGCATGAGTCTTAGACAGGATCCTGGAACCTGCTGCCTCCTTCCCAAATCCAGATGGGCTTTGGGAAGGTGGTGGGAGCACTCTTGGCCCCATCAGAGAATCACACCAACTTACCTAAGCTGAGCAATGCATCCCAGACTTAGGGAAGGAGGCACTAGGCTGTGACAGTAGCCAGGAACCTTGCTTTCTCCTACCCAAAGCCACCCATCTCCGGTAGAGGGGGCTCGGTGTCAGAGTGCTCAGGCCAGTAAGTCAAGGACGGGGGCTTCCCTGTGGGGCTGGTAATTGGTTTGCCACCCTTGATGCATTGTAAGTGTGCCAACTGCCTTTCAAGGCCCATTCACTTGGAGTATCTTCTGAGTAGACATTTGTAGAAGTGTTAGAAATCCTTTGACACATCACTTTATTTAATTAAATTAAATACACTGCTTGATTGTAAAAAAATAAAAATAAAAATCCAAAAAAGTTAAAATAACAATAAAATAAAAGCATATTAAAACTTGCATCTATTGTATAAACATGGATAGGCTTGTTTCAATGTTTATAGCAGGCACCCACTTTTGTTTCTAGAAAAAAAGCACTGTATGAACCAATGATATCCAGTGTGTCAATTAGTTACAAGAAAAGTATAGAATTCTGTCTTTTGGTCCATTCAGATGCGGGGTGCAAGGGACTAAGAAGTATCTATGGTTGATCCTTGAATCTGGAATGAGTGGAGTAGATGATCACTTCCTTACATACATCTATCACATTTCAAACAAGCAGTCATTGGACTGAAGGAAGAGAAGTAGAAATATGGGAAATATGGGCATTGCTCTCCCCAATGTGGATTCTGGGCCTGCCCACTACTTGCTTGCACACACACACACACAGAGAGAGAGAGAGAGAGAGAGAGAGAGAGAGAGATTACATCCAAGAGAATGCAGCTGTCTGTACCTTCAGATACAGAGAGTTAGAATCAGAGAGCAGATAGCTAGCCTGATACATTTCTACCATGTGAGAACTCCAGAAAATACACAAAAAATAGTGTGCATGACAAAAGGTGAAAGACAAAAACATTTTTATAGATGCTCAGCAGAGGTGCCTGTTCTGCAAAGTTGATGGCAAATGTAGGACACGATGTGGAGGTAGCATGTCCAGCTAGGGTCAGAAGTTACTAAAAGGCATGAAAAAAAATCAAAATAAAGGTACAATAAAGAGACTGGGGAATGAGGTGTATCCATATGCTGACTGTAGGTTTTTATTTTGGTAGTTACACCACGTGAAGATCTTTCCCCCAATGGTCTACAGTGCACAGCCTGCTTCAGAAAGACCGATTTTTCCGGCAAAACAGGTTGCCCACGTGAGGGGACTGTCAGCTGCCTTGCCAATGAGACCAAGTGCATTAACTATTCTAGCAGGATGATATGTGAGTAATATTGCCAATGGGGCAAGAAACTCAGCTCCTCTCTGTCTCTTTCTCACTTCAAGAAAAGTAATGACTGATATTATTTTGCATTTTATTTATGATAGGTGTGTATAGCTTTGATTTCTTTCTCTGAGGGAAAGGGCAATAATCTAGTCCTGTTCTGGATTCCATACTATCTGCATATGAATTGCATAAGAACTGGAGGGGACAGGCTCACTCAAGGGTAGGGTTTTACCTTGTGTGAGACTGGGAAGCCTACAAAAGTACAGCACACTCCTTACAGCACACCTTTTTCCTCAAATGCACAAGGTGCATCAGAGCAGAGGGATACAAGGGAGGGTGCAGGACCAGCCAGCACATCACTGCTTCTCCTCACAACAGTATGCACCATTGGGTGCTGGTCCAGGAGTACCCACCCACCTTGGCCAAACATTCAAAAGTAAAGGAGGCTGGGAGAAAGGAGGACACTACTAGTGCATCTCTCTTCATCTATCTTCATAATTAAGTTGCATTGTGTTTATTGAAACTTATTGCATCACAAGTGTGCAAAAGAACTGCAGCCTTAGTCTAGCAAAATACATGGGGTGGGAGACCAGGGCTTTTTTTCAGCCAAAACTCATTTCCAGCAACTCTCAGGTAGGCCCCATTGCCATTCTAAGAGAACAAGGGAGGCACTCATGTTGAGTTCCGGCACCTCTTTTTCTAGAAAAATAGCACTATGGCAGAGGGTAACTTCCTGTTCACAATGCATCACCATGGTGTTAGCCAGGAAACTCAAATTCAAAGCAAATAATCAGCAGGCAATCCAATTCTCTCCTTTCTTCTTTTACAGCACAGCATAAACTCAAGACAGACTGAAAAGGAAGGTCCCTGCCAAAGGGGAAGCTTGCAGGCTCTGTGTTTGGCAGGGATCAACTGTAATATTGAGAACTTGATCCCAATGCCAGCACAGCTTCCTGTTGTTGCCACTTAGCTGCTGAACATTGGAAGCAAACTTTGCTTTGAACAAGGGGTTCAGCTGATTGGCTGTGACTGCAAGCCCTCCTCTCAAGCAAATGATTCAGAGTAGTTTCCAAGATTCCCAGTTGTTCTGCTGCTGCAGTGAATTTACCTGCCACATATCTCATGTAATACAGTGTTAGTGTAAGTCAAGTGGATGTTGCTTGGGTAGAATGGTCACATTAGGCCACCTGGTGGGCTTAATTTGGCTCACAAGGTAAGACTAGTGATAGTTGGCTGTCAGATTAATCCTACAGGGTTGTAAACATACTGAGCTTTAATAATCACAGTCATCCTTATCCCCAAGGCCCCAGAACTCATGCAAAGCTTCTCCTTTTTATTACACAGATCATAATAAGACAGCTAATAGACTCCAATTCAAAGGCTGTGCAACTGAAGACTTGTGTGCCCTTGATGGAAAAAACCTTGAATATGGTCACCTGCTAGTCCAAGGAATTAAAGCAAAATGCTGGAATGCTGCAATATCATCAAAGCAAATTGATCTTGAAGGGTAGATACAAGACAGCAAAGCTCTCCTCCTTGTTAATTCCACCATTCATGGTAGCTGCAGAAGAAATCGGGAGCCTAGTGGTGAGAGGAGGAGTTCAGGCCTCATGGGTTTTCTTTTTCACAATTGGTGAAATTCATCATAAAAAAATAAACTCATCTGGCACATTGAATCTGTATTCTGTATCTCTTTGTTTTATATATGCAGAATGAGTAGAATGCTGAGAAAGGGCATTTAAAGTAAAATATGAGAATTTGTATGTTACTTTGTTCAGCCCCAGTTGCATGCCAAGGCCTTGCGACCCTTACGGACAATATTTACACAGACACAATTATTTTGGTTTATGCGTTCAAATAGGCCACAGCTTTATTGTTTACAGATGCGGGTGGTTTAGCTTAGGCATTATTTAGCTTAGGCCAGGCTATATCTTGATTCCCGCCAGTCTGCAGGGTAAACCACCAGTAGGGGGAGCCCTATGACTTACATAAAATAGGGACTCCCTTGTTAGGTTTCTGTGTGTTGCCACTGTGCAGTTGCTTGGAGTCACAGGACTCTGTTTACATTCCAGGGATTCCAGACTGTTGGAAGTCTCATGGAGGACGGGAGACAGATGTGATGTTTACTGGTTTCCTGTTCCTTTGTTTTTCAGTTGCTCTCTGCCTTCCACAGAAAGAGGATATAAATTCTTACTGTCTGCGTACTTAGGAATAAAACTCTTAGCCATGTAGCTCATACTATCTCAGCTCCTTCCCTGCGTGCTGGATACTCTGCGTATTGGGAATGTGCCTGGAGCCTGATCAAAGGCTCAGGTCGTTAATTATCGTCAGAGGAGAGAATGAAGGCCTCGACCGGAGGAGGAGTAGCTCGGGCCCGAGGGACAAATTTGACAGACACTGGGAGACAAATTGAAATAGGATTTGAATGGATTCACATAATCAGGGGTTCCTGGGTTTGAACCATGTCCTTGTAATGGGAGATGGTGACAGAAGCAAGTGGAGCCCTCTTCAAAGAGAAAATGAAAAAAGCTCCTAACCAAATACAATGTGATCAGTTAGACACGGGCACATTAAAATAATTCCTCATTTATCAACAAGTACTCTCATTATAAACCTCTGCTAATTGTAACTAGAGGTCTGAAGAGTTCATCAGAGTCATATTTTTAGGCTGACCCAAAGTGTCTGTCTGAGATGGATTTGGGGCTTGCCCAAAATAAAGTAGGTGGCTTGTGTCAAAACAGAGGTGGTGATTTGTTCTGCCCCATCTTGGTAATCCACATATTAAACACAGTACAGACAAGCATCTACTACAACTGATATTATACTTGCAAGCTTACCACAAGCAGGAATGATAGGATGGGGTAATAAGACAAGGGAGAGCAATCAGCAGCCTGGGGAGAAGCCAGAGGAAGAGTTTCATTGTAACTGGCAGGTCAAGGATGTAATCAAAGGAATAACTTTACCTTTACTTTCCCCTCTAAATTCGCTCCAAATTTTACAGAGTCTTTTCTCTCCCCACTCTATCTCTGCCAGCTCAGGATATCTCCATCTCTCCATCCATTCTACACTGGCTCCCAGTACATTTCTGAGCACAATTCAAAGTGTTGGTGCTGACCTTTAAAGCCCTAAACGGCCTCGGTCCACTATACCTGAAGGAGCATCTCCACCTCCCCCATTCTGCCCGGACACTGAGGTCCAGCGCCGAGAGCCTTCTGGCGGTTCCCTCGCTGTGAGAAGCCAAGTTGTGTGGCAAGTTCCCTCCCCCCCCCCCAGTGGAAATAAAGACACAAGACACCATGATTCAAGTTAATGGGCGAAATAGGCCACAACTTTATTGATTACAGGAATGAGCGGTATTGGCTTAGGCATTGGTCCTATCGACTATCCGGCTTCAGCCCGATTGCATGAAGACCGGAAAGGGTTAACCACCAGAAGAGGGAGTCCTGCTGATGCACGTCAACTAGGAGCTCCCCCGGGGTCACCGCTCGGGGGCGTGCCTTAGGTCCATACCTCCATATGCTTCGGACAGGGCCACGCCCCCCAGAATCCTTTATTTGACTACCCTTCTATGTGGGGGAGGTGATGGCGCTTTCTCCTCCCCTCTCATTTGCTTAACAATTCTCCTTCCCAATGCCTAACCGCCAATACCGCATAGTTGTGACGAGTTGCTACTAGGTAGGTGAAAAAAGCAAATGGCTGGAGCCAATTTGCCAAGTGGAAAAATTCCTACCAGGCCCCATGATGGCGACCAACCGAAGTCCATAGCAATGTCAGTGAGCCTGCCTAAAGGGTGGGAGGGATGGGAAACCGGAACAGCTGGAGCGGTGAAAAGAGGACGAGCCTTGGCCGCGCCAGCCCTAAATAGGGCGGGCCACGCCTCCCGAGCCAGCCAATTGGCTGGCAGGGGAGATGACGCGGCCGAGGATTCCCTTCAGTCTCGCGGGGGCTGTGAACCAGCCCCCGTGCATGTGAGGGTGGGGTGAAGCCCACAACCCCACCTCCTCTCCAGCTCGGAAGTGGCTTTACAGGGAACCAGGCAGAGGGCCTTCTCGGTAGTGGCACCCCCCTGTGGAACGCCCTCCCACCAGATGTCAAAGAGAAAAATAACTACCAAACGTTTAGAAGGCATCTGAAGGCAGCCCTGTTTAGGGAAGCTTTGAATGTTTAATAGGTTATTGTATTTTAGTGTTTTATTGGACTGTGGCTCCCCACAGAGGCAGAGCAAGGTGGGTGTGGTGGAGCGTCCCGCCCCAGGTGTCATCCCTGAGGGGAGGGTGACAAAATCCCACCCGGGCTCAATCACAGCAACACTGGATTGCACCAGACGGCCTGGCCACCACGCTGGATCATACCCCCCAGCCTGACCACCACACCAGATCACCTCAGCCCCAGCCGGGCGTGATCATCCTGCCTCCTGGGTCGGGAGTAGCAGGCAGGCGGCACACCGTTACCCTATGCTCCAGGCTGGAGGAGGCAGGCAGGCAGGGGAGAAGACTAGAAGGAGACAGGTGAGCAAACAATGGAGGGGGCTGCCTATGGGTGCCATGCGCCCCATCCCATCCATCCCTATGGGTGCCGCGTGCCCTGTACCGTCCATCCCAATGGACGGTTCGACCCACCCCTATGGGTGGTTCACCCTGCCTCTGGGCGCGCTGCCCCAGGTACCTAAGAGGCTTCCTCCATCACTGGCTCCCCAACAATGGAAGTAGAAGAACTAACTTCTGGGTCAGCTTTGGCTGTAAACCCAGCAAAGGCTCTGTGGTCCCACTCCCCAGCATTCACCCAAAATATGGATGTGAGACCTCAAGTGTATCCCTAAGTCCCACCAGGCTGATCCCTGAAAGGCATCCTAAACCCAATAATTCTGCAGTGTGTCTAAGGTTTTCTTCTCTCCAACTGCTTCCCTTGCCTACACTCAATGCAAGGTAGCTACACCAATTTCTGTCCACTTTCTTCTTCCTATATCTTGCTATAATAAATGGTATCACAACATAATGGAGGCCTCCTCATAAGGATGATCATTGTCTTTTACTTCCACATACACACTTTTACTTTCTACCTTAACCTTACATCCCTACACCGCATTTGACGGCTGCACTGCCATTGGCTCATCCCACTGCTGGGCTGCACTAATGGCCTTTGAGTTAATCTGCAGCTGAACCAACAAGGGCTTCCTCAACTGCATCTTTGCACATTGACTGGTACCTTCGACTGGACTGTTCAGAGTGATGAAGAGTGATTGAGAGAATGATCCTGTTTGTGTTGTTTGTGGAGACAGCAGGCTCCATGCTGTGTGAGGTTTCGAGTCATTGACTCGAAAGTCATTGACTGAGTCATTGACACCAGCAATTGAGCCCCAGACCTCAATGAACCATTTGTTCCCAGGTGTTGCCCACAGCATGAATCCTTGGCCTATAAATATCTGAAAGTAAAACCTCTTCCTGCTTCAGTTCTCTTAGCTGGTCCATCTCTGAGTTTCCTGATCTTTCAAAAATGATGACAACACTTCTGAGCACATGCTTCCTCTTGGGCCTGCTTTCTCCAGTTGAGTAGGAACCAGTGCAATGGGATTCATTTTATCATCTTTGTTGTAGTTTAGTCGTTTACTCGTGTCCGACTCTTCGTGACCCCATGGACAAGAGCACACCAGGCACTCCTGTCTTCCACTGCCTCCCGCAGTTTGGTCAAATTATCATCTTTAGATGACTGCAAAAATGTTTGCTCCTTGGGCAGGAATGTGAGTGAGGACAGGATAGCAGCATAATAGAGAGTCAGGACTGCTGGCTTACCAAGGAGAGTAAACTCAAGTTTAAGCACTTAAGCCTTGGTGACCAAGTATAGTCAGTTGCAAACATGTATTTCTGTGATGGAAGAATCTGATTAACCATACTAATAAGTGAAGGCCACAGTTTCCAGGATACTTAGGATAGCCATTCAATCTAGAATATATTATTTATTCATTAATATATATATATTGCTTCATTCCCAAATGGCTTCTGTGCTATTTAGAAAACAATAGCAACAAAAGAAATCTGCATCTTTTTTAAAATCCAGAATGATTAAAATATACACTATAGTTAAAATAGCCAATAAAAAAACCTTAACATATAAACTACCCTGATTAAAAGGTAATCCCCCCCTCTCTCTGTGTATACATTCACACCAACCATTACCTGCTTCTCTAACATCCTTGTCCTTAGAAAGTGTTCCCTAAGCCAGGCTCTCTTCCAAGACAAAAGTCAACTAATAGGGAAACGGTGTGTGAGTGAGAGATGGAGTGGGACGAAATCTCAAGTACTAGAGCAGCAATGAGCATTTCACGTATAGTTCATAACTTTATTGAACAAGCCAAAGGCCATGACAAACTTGTAGCAATGGTATTAATAAAAGAATACAGAGCAGACATCCATAATATAAGCTAACTCCCATGATGTAAGAGAGAGAAGATACCAGAGACACCAACAAACTAAATTCTAGCTTGATTTCAGATTAAACCTAACAATCACCAAAACCAACATGGCCCCCAATTCCATATAGTACAGCACAGGAAAATGTTGCATTGGCATAGAAGCAATTTAAACACACACACAACCCCCCCCCCACACACATACACAAACTTTAACTGAGCACATTCCACTCTTGCCTTAATTGTTGGCCACCTAGATTCTGTAGAAATAAAAGCTGTTGATATTACTGGTGGTATGGTGTGTAGTTTCAAAATAATCTTTATTCTGAGCAGTTTTGAAAACTTTAATGGAGTTTGACTCAGACCCCCAGATTTCAGTGCCATAGAGCATTTCAGTAAGCACTTTGCTACAAATTATCTTTAGGACAGCTTCATTCAGCTGCCCTCCCTTATTGTAATAGAATTTCATTACAATTCTTTGGTTTTTGGTGCTTTGACTTTCACTGTCTCAATATGACTCTTCCCATAGAGGGTTTCATTAACTAATACACATAGGTATATAAATGAGCAGATTTCCTGTGTACAGTGGTACCTTGGGTTAAGTACTTAATTCGTTCCGGAGGTCCGTTCTTAACCTGAAACTGTTCTTAACCTGAAGCACCACTTTAGCAAATGGGGTCTCCTGCTGCTGCCACGCTGAAGGAGCATGATTTCTGTTCTTATCCTGAAGCAAAATTCTTAACCTGAAGCACTATTTCTGGGTTAGCGGAGTCTGTAACCTGAAGCGTATGTAACCTGAAGCGTATGTAACCTGAGGTACCACTGTAGTTTCTTGCTTTTAAACACCTGTGTTATTTATACATAGGCTTTCACACCATGAAGCAGGGCAATTCACAATATAGAACCATTGGCATGCATCAAGATTGAGATATTTCTGTTCCTTTTCCTATTTTTTTTCAGCCGGTGCATAGAGGGGTACTCTAAGAAGCCACTCTATGGAAGGGAAGATTGCATTGGCTAAATATGACACCCAATAATTCATATGAACATTACAGCTAACACACACCTACCCTTTTGCATTCCACCTCCTTAGAAAGAAGGACACCTTTTTCCACATTATAGTACTTTACCATCTCAAGAAATCTCTTCCACCAACCTCTATCTCCTTTCTGCAGCGGCATTTCTTACATGTGACTACTGTCATGAAATGAGTACCTCATGTGAAAATACCGAGAGCAAAGCCTGCAATGATATTCACATCTGTTCCTCTGGTGTCTGAGTAACAACATAGGTGAGCTGAATCTTCTCACTTACTCTTGGTCACCCCAAGGAATGACTTTCTTGTGTAAATTAGCATTATTTAGTATTATTTTTGCCTTTATAGCCCATCATTTCTCCAAGGAGCACAAAGTGGCATATATGGTTCTTCTCTTATGCATTTAACCTTGTGAGGGATATTAAGGTGAGAGGCAGGGACTCCCCATGGTCACCCAGTGAGCTTCATGGTTGAGTGGGGATTTGAACCCTGGCATCTCAGATTCCAGTCCAACAGTCAGCACCCATACTCAGTCACATAAGGCGGAAAGGCATTCCCTTTTCCTTTCCATCACATGCAGGCTTCATCAGAGACAACCTGGCATGCATCACCTTGGGGTTGGCTAACCTATGACCCTTTAGAAATTTCTGGACTACCACTCCCTAACACCTAAGCTAGCATAGTCAATGGCTAGAGATGATGCAAGCTGTCGTTCAGTAAATTCTTTAGGGCCACAAATTAGTCAACACTGTCTTA